CATCATTGTTCTTCTGTTGAAGTCGTGGTTGGTTCGATTGTCACACCGCATCCGCACCAGCATCCGCATCCACGACACGACTGCTGCTTCCTGCACTTGTCTACCCTGCAGCATCTCGCATTTGGGTTGCTTGGAAGAAGAAAAAAACGACCCTTTGCTGCAACATCATCATACTTCGCACTCGTAGGCGTTGTATCTTGTAAGAAAGAAAGAGTTGGATTTCCATCTCACCACACCACCGGAGGATATTTCTGAGGTACTCAAGTAAGGTAGGTAGGTTCTTGCTCTCTCTCTCTCTCTCTGCCCACGGCAGCAGAAAGAAGCCAACTCCTTCCTTCCCTTCCCTGTCTTCTGTTCCCTTCCCTTCCCTTGCCGTATCTGGGCTCTCCTTGTTCGTTCCTTCCTTGCACACCTCACCTCACGTACCGCACCTTCCTGCCTTCAGACTAAATGCAACTTGCCCTTTCCTTCCTTTCCTTGACTTGACCTCCTTCCTGCCTTACCTTCCTGATGATACCTTGCCTGTTAGGTTTAAGGTTTTTATTTTTATTTTCTGAAGGTGAAGTGGGCGGGAAGGGAGGTACCTGGACCTTGACCTTGACCGGCACCTACCTCTACCTACCTTTGCCTCTACCTACCTTGCGTCCCCATCTGGGTTTAAGTTTTCGATCCCGCCTTCACACCCCAAACCCTCGTCCTCGCCCTCGTCTTCGTCACCTTCCTACAAAGAACCTTGACTTCCACACCCATTTTGGGCCAATTTTCCCCCTCCTTTCACTCTCATCGTCTCTGCAAGCCTCCAATAAGCCATCTCACTAAATCGGCCATTGCCCAGACTCCGGCGTCGTGCTTCGACTTCCTTTCGACCTCGGTAAGTTGGGCCTGCTGGGTCAAGAAAGCTCGACGTATATGAGCGGACCACCTATATCAGGAGATTTCAGGCCATGGCTGACTCGTTTTCCAGAATACACAAGAATCCCTCCTTCGGGACACACAGCATTTCTTCTGCTACCTTACACTGCACCAAAGCCATTGCAACTTCAGCGCCTTTTCCAACAGCTACAGACAGCTTGGGTTCCCCAAACAAACGCCACGCCCAACACCAACACCACCGACTGCACAGGACACCCAGATCAACCCGCACAGGGCATCGGCAGCTTGACGCACGTCCAGAAACACACGATCACCCACCACCTCAAGCCAAGCACTCACTGCACCTCACATCAACTCATCCGCCTCTGTACCACCTTACACCACCTCACCGAGCGTTGTCAACTCCCCCGATTTCAACATGGCCGTCGCTAGCGCTTGCGCTCACTCTTTCAAGATGATCAAGTCCGACAGCAACCTGATCCAATGGACTTGCAACCTGTGTCACTCGGGTCCGCATTGGTGTATCTTCGAGTGTCGCTACTGCAAGATTCACACCTGTCGGCCTTGTACTCAGAGCGCTTGAAGATGCGCCTACACAACGCCAGTGCATCGACTGCCGGCGCCGCCACCGAACCGAGCCCCAAACCACACACCAACATCGACAGCGCTCACCGTGAGGGGCAGATGCAGATGCACGATGGCGACGTGGGGGTTTTGCATTGGATGCATTCGAGGTATGTTGAATTACTTGCACCCTCTCGACAGATTCCCTACGTCTCAGATGGGCTAGATTTTACCTGCTCCTCATGACGCACACTCCCTCCCATCACCAAGCTCCAGAGACAAGTCTCTCCCTACCCGATCCCCATCGCAATCGTATCACTCGAAGACCTCAAAGTGCCTGTGGCTGGCTGGCTAGCTACTTCACACAAAAACTTACACTGCCGTTACCTCCTCCCCCTCTGCTTTCCCGATACCACCCTGTCCGTCCTCGTTGTCCTTATTTTCCGAGGCCGAAGTCGAGCCGTTGGCATACAAACGGACAGCCGCGGCAGAGTAGACCTTGTTTCATCGTCTTGGCTGGATGTGACCTGCTAACACAGTCTAGCAACCTCGTTACGACAACTCATTTCTGATGACGACGATGCCGTGCCCTCAAAAAGGGCAAGGCATCGTGCATGCAACAATCGCCCTGGACGGCGATCGATACCAATCAATGGCAACCGATGACAGGACCGCCTGGATCGGACGATGCCGGCTACTCCTTTCAAGTTTCTCCCCCTTCACGACAGGGCGTCCGCCGACTCACTCTCAAACGATGTAACTCTTTCCTCTTTCGATTTTTGACTTTTTTTCGACGTCGCCGTTTGCAACCCTCCCCGGACCGTCTGGAAGCTCCCGTAGACCTGGACGTCCGACGACCTCCGCCACCCCTGCCGCCCTTGACCGTCCCCTGGCACCATTCAGGGTATTCTATCCTGGCGTGGTCTAGCGCACCAGTGCCAAATTTCGGTGCTGCATGGCGCACGTGGGACCCTCTGGCTCAGGCACCTTTGCAGCTGGATGCAGGCACAGGCCCCCGGCGGGGAGCACATCCCGCCCACAGGGACCGTCTGTCAACGCCACGCCCCTGTGCCATGATACCCTCGATTTGTGATCCCGACTGGACCGCCTCTCGACGGGCTTCGCACACTACCTTCCCCGATATGACGGCGCCGAAGCCTAGAACCGACAGGCATAGATCGACATGGACGCGACACGGTCTATACTACAACTCGGTCTTCTGGCCGCAGCCAGCACCAGCACCCTCACCCTCACCCTCACTCGACGGCGAGCTACTTTTATTTGCGAAACGGAGTTATGCTTTTCGGCCGCGTAACCACAATACCCCTTTTTCTTTCTCATTTGGCGCGTGGTGTTCTTCCCTGCTTATCAAAAAGTTCGTCAGGAGTTTGGCAGGGCCAGGGTGGGCGGCAATGACGATGGAGGAGCGAAGGTGGAAGTGGTTTCTTTCTCTAACAATAGACTTTGGGTTTACAGGGAACGGTTTCATGGAGCATGGCAAACAGAAGAAAAAATCGGGCTTTAGATCAGGTCACAACAGCACGCAAGGCTGATGGACTGGAAGGGCGGTTACCTGTCAATTTGAGCTTTCTTTTTCCTCTCCCTCGTTGCAGTCTTGATCCCGCTCATCACGTTGCGCACACGCGCCCCAGGTCATTTGTCACTTTGCACCCCTTTTTCTTGGGAGAGGGCATTGGCATCATAATCATCCTCCTTACGCCTCACATTGGATCCGCGGTTACGAGGGCAGCACGGTACGGCGTCCGGTTGGTCCAGCATCTGTGACCTCGTGGGTCTTGACGGGACATCGGTACATAATGAAACAACGCAAAGGACCAAACAAACCAAGCGCGACATCGTCTGACTACTCAGGTTCAACTGATTTGTCGTCGACGAAGCTCGGTGTTACTCCTTATCCCGCCCGGCGCCGGTATCGTCGTTGAGAGGTGTCCGGCGGTGTGCAACTCGCCCCGGCGGCCTCGGCCCTTCTTGAGGAACCGGGACGAGGGAGATCGTTGGACGGAGGCACGGGCTTGAAAGAACCGGTCAGGGCGTCGTCGGACGGACTTCGAGGGACTATTTGAGGTTCGTTGAATAAGAGGGCTGAAAGGCTGAAAAGGGGGGGGGGGGGGGGCAGATTATTTAGTGGTGAGGGCCAACAGAAACA